TTTCCACAAAAGGTATGGGAACAATCAGATATCCCTATGATTAAAAGAAAAAACCACCTCGTTTGTTACCTCATGTAATATCCAAAACTTAATTTGAGATAGATGACAGGCCTAAAGGTAAAATCTAAAACAATAAAGATTAAAGGAGAGTATTATCTATATAACCTGAGGGTAGGTAAGGTTCCTTAGACAAAACACAGAAAGTAATTATCATAAAAGAAAACACTGAAAAATAGAATTCATCAAAATTTAAAACTCTATTAATCAAAAGATACCATAAAGAATATGATTAGGCAAACTACAGACAGGGAGAAATTATTTGTAAGATATATATCTGACAGAGGGGACTTTAACCAGAACATATACAGAATTCTTACAAAAATAGCAAAAAGACAAAAATAAAACAAAACAATGTAGGTAAAACACATGAAGAGACAAGCTGGGCACAGTGGCTCACACCTATAATTCCAGCACTTTGGGAGGCCAAGGCAGGAAGATTGCTTGAGTCCAGGAGTTCAAAACCAGCCCGGGCAACAAAGCAAGACTCCTACAAAAAATAAAAAGATTTAGCCAGGTGTGGTGGCACGTGCCTGTAGTCCCAGCTACTTGGGAGGCTGAAGTGGGAGGATCACCTGAGCCCCAAAGGTCGAGGCTGCAGTGAGCCAAGATCCACGACTGCACTCCAGCCTGGGTGACAGTGTAAGGCCCTGTCTCAAAAAATAATAATAATAATAATAATAAGATATGAAGAGACACTCAACAAAAGAAGATACACAATTGACCCACGAGCACATGCAAAAATTAATCAACCCTGGTCAATCAGGAAGATACAAATAAACCACAATGAAAACCTACCAAAATAATTAAAATTAAAAAGACTTTCAACGCCAAGTGCTGGCAGATGCAGAACAACCAGAACTTGTGGGGAAAGTCTGGCAATTTCTAAAGCTAAACATACACCTACCCTCCGATCCAGTGATTCTACTCCTAGATATTAACCCAGAAGAAATGAAGACATGTGTCTCCAGACAGACCTGTGCAAGAATGTTCATAGTAGCTTGTTCCTAACAGCCAAAACCTGGAAACTAATGAAAAACAATGATAAACTGGCCGGACGCAGTGGCTCATACCTGTAATCCCAGAAGTTTGGGAGGCCAAGGCAGGCAGATCACCTAAGGTCAGGAGTTCAAGACTAGCCTGGGCAACATGGTGAAACCCTGTCTCTACTAAAAGTACAAAAAATTAGCCAGGCATGGTGACGTGTACCTCTAATCCCAGCTACTCGGGAGGCTAATGCACGAGAACCGCTTGAACCCAGAAGGCAAAGGTTGCAGTGAGCCAAGATTGCGCCACTGCACTCCAACCTGGGGAAAGAGTGAGACTGTGTCTCAAATAAAAAAAAAAGAAAGAAAAACAATGATAAACTATGGTACATTTATTTAAGTGATACTTAAAATTAGGAAGGTATCAGAATCTTGAGTAAGGGGGAAAAAGTATAGTTCAGAAAAATATTTTCAAGTAATTCTGATACCTGTTGAAAAACTTTCCATGTTTCAAATAAGCAACTTGCAAACAAGCTTCAAGAACAGAATTTGTATGAAAGCATTTTCTGACATATATACAATAGTTGGTCACCAGGGGGCACTCTCAATGCAGTTCTATCTGGGGCTTCCCAGGGCAGGCGTGTGGGCGTAAACAGTGATGCTGTGGCTGCTGCCAAATTCAGTTCAGCATCTAAGGACTGCACTGGTGTCACTCTGGTGGGGGTGTTACATGCTTTTTTTGGACATCACATTTATCTTTCCAAATACAATCTCATTTAACAAATGTATTTGTTTACAGTGGCTAAACCCACACAAATTGCTAATGCCGTAGGGCTCAAAACGTGAACAGAAGGAAGAATTTGCCACCGTTACCCATGATTTTTTTGGTCAGATAATCAAGAACTGGCTGTAACTACTCATCAAAATAGCTTCCAGTTGTAACTGGATGTACACAGATGTAATTTGTTAGAAAATCATTCACAATTAATACAATTCCTAATACAATGTAGAATATTGTTAAAATCTTGCCCTTTTCTTTTTTCTTTTTTTTTTTTGAGGCAGGGTCTTGCTGTGTCACCCAGGCTGGAGTGCAGTGGCATGATCATAGCTCACTGCAACCTCTGCCTCCCAGGCTCAAACCATCCTTCCACCTCAGCCTCCCAGGTACCTGGGACCACAGGTACGTGCCACCGCACACAGGTAAGTTTTGTATTTTTTTTTTTAAGTAGGGACATGGTTTCGCCATGTTGCCCAGGCTGGTCTCCAACTCCTGGGCTCAAGCAACCCTCCCGCCTTGGCCTCCCAAAGTGCTGGGATGGCAGGTGTGAGTCATGGCGCCTGGCCAAACTTTTACATTTTAAGGCCATCTAAAATACCATATAACTTTAAATTAACAAGTAATACACGTTCCTACATAGAAGAGTATACCCTACTAAATACTAACACATGATGAGCATCTACCGGGAGGGAAAACAAATTTTGTGAGTCTGGACTGAACTTACAGTTTTCTTTGTAAAGGATAATTAATAATATTTTTTCAAGTACTTGAACACTTTACACCTTCATCAGCACACCTGAACAACTCAGGACTTCATATGCCAGGAGAAGAAAATGTTAGCACTTGTTATTACAAAAAACTTGAACATTTCCTACCTAATTTTAAGAGACAGCTTTAATAAATGGAGGCTCTCTCAATGTAACTGTAACTTGAGAGAAAACAGTGTGGAGCTGTGCTTCCCTAGCTTTGCCTCCCCCACCGCACCCACCCTGCCTTGGTCAAACACAAACCCCACCCTCCACTCAGGGATGCAAACAGATGTGCGGACTCCGCAGCACATGATCTGTTTCCCCGCTGGCAGAGACCTTCAGTCTACACTTATTTTCTGTAGTTTATACTATGAAGAGGATATACTTTTACCCCCAATTGTAAGACCATATTACACATGCTTTTTCCTTTTTAAATTTTTCGTTGATATATAATAATTGTACATATTTATGGGTGCATGTGGTATACATGCACATAATGTGTAATGATCAAGTCAGGGTATTCAGGATGTCCATTAGCTTGAGCATTTATCATTTATTTATGCTGGGAACATTTCAAATCTTCTCTTCTAGCTATTTTGAAATATAAAATATATATGCTTTTTCAAATTACCACTGATGCCTTCCTACCCCCAGAAGATTCTGATATTCCTCCTTGTTCCTCATGTTCAAGAATCTTAATGTAGAGGACACAATTACATTTTAAAGACTAAGTATGGGATCTTGACATCTTTGGCTCTATGCTTTCTGGAGGAGAGAAATTTGTTTTGCAACCAACAGGGCAAGGCAAGGTGTTTGAATGGTGTTTTGTGCAGAAGCCCTGCCAGGAGGAGCTGGCCGCAGCCACCTGCAGCCTGTCAGTGGCAGAGCCGTGCTGGCTTGCTCCCAAGTGGCCAGCAGTGGTGAAAACAGATGGTGGCCACTGTCAGCAGAACTCATGAAAATGAAACGGCCCAGGAGGAAGGGTCCTCACAGGATAGCCTGGTTCCTGGCACCTGCTTGCTCTCCACAGGGCTCTGTTGAAACAGACTGGAAAGGTACACCCGGCAGCAGAGATCAGCCACCAAGAACAACCAGCTGTGTCGGCTGAGCCTCTTTCACGTGAAGGGAAAAGGAGTTTGACAAAAAGGAGCCTCCACGTTTTAGCAGTTATACATCTGTTTTAAGTATCAGAGGGCCCCTGTCTGTACAGTCAATATTGTGCTCACACCTTATTGTTGGACATATTACAGATGTTTCTCTATGACACTGAAGTTACAACTGCTCCAAAACTCTAAAAAAGGGAGGCAGTGATTTGAACAGAATTATGTTTTAATGTAAAAGTGAGGGTACTGTTAGGAAGATACATGTTATTTTCAAAAAATACATTTCATCGTGTTTCACTCTGACCAAACGTCATAACTTTCTGAGTTGTTGTCTTGAATGCTCATATCTTATATATGATTTGAATATTTTTGGTGTTGTTGTAGGAGGACTAAAAATTTCTGACAAATTAGCCTAAATCATGAGAGATAATTCCCCATAATTTTTCTGAGTAATTTATTATGGTGGCCGTAAAGAAAAAATAAAATTGACTCAGGTATCAGTTCTTATTATTTCCAGGTAGAGATATGAGTTCTGCTCCATTAATTCCATCTATCTATCCTAAACAAAGAGAACTGGCCAAAATACTGTGTTGAACAGAGCAATCATTGTGTTACAGTTGTATACTCTGATGTATGAGCAACAATCTCCAACATCAATTATTACAAATACAGATGTATTAAATAAAAATAAAATTACAAAAGAAGCATCACTGGTTTTCAACTTATATGATAAATCTTAGTCCAGGAAGAAATCAATAGCGTTCTTAATATTATGCCCAAACATATTTAAAGCCTATTAGAATTAATCAGTGAAGGTTCAGCCTATTTTCCTATAGTATCCCAGATGTATACAAATTTGAGTACCACCTATGTCTTGAGAATAATATAACAATTTTAAACTCAAGAGCTCTTAGACAATCATTATTATTATTAATAATCCAGCAATAAAGGCTTATTCAAGCAAGAAAATGAAATGATGTGAAAATGAACAAAAAAGCACTTTGGTTATAATCCTATCCACTACTTTACTGGATACCCATACTCATTAGAACGAAAATCATCTCATCACTGCTCTGTCATCTACGTTTTCTTTTACACATGAATATAAACCCTGTTAACACACACAATCACATACGTACACACAGACTTGTAGCACTAATGGCAGTGGTGATGAGTGGTAAAATACAAAGACTTTATTTTGTAAAAACATTCATTCTAAAAGGTTTTTAGTGTACAGTCAAATGGCCTTACCAAAGCAAGACCAAAAACCTGACAGGGAAACCTGGCTCCCCACACAGGGGATGGCCGTGACAGTGGAAGCACTGACCTTGTACGCTTGCATAAGCATGTGGATGACCCCTGGGGCACCGTGGCACCAGTGAACCAGCCGGTCTGTTTCATTGCTTAACGATGATGGGTAATTCCCAGACCGGAATTTTTTGTGGCGCACGTAATCAATACTGGGTTTCACCATTTCTGTCAAAGTTTCTTGGTCCACTTTTGCTGCTGGCTTTAAACAAACAAAAATAAAACACAAATTATTTTTTCTGAAGTTATTTCTTTTACATTGTATCACGGCTAACAAAATAAAACATCAATTACATGGAAAATGAAAGAGCACATAAAATTAGAATTAATTCAACTATCTGGTTATTTAAGACTTAGGCAGAACTTGTTTCAAGTTTTTGAAATCTCAGTGTTATAATGTATTTTGTCTCCTCTTTGGTGGATGAGTAGTAAAGGAAATGATTAAATGGCAAGTGAACCTAGGAGTAGGTAGGTTTTGTTTTGTTGCTTTGCTTTGTTAAAATACGAATACTTGATATCCTTCCATGGGGCTCACACCTTCTAGAAAGCCAGGTACCCCCTTCTCCCAAATCTATATACTGGCTTTGTTACTCAGCCAAATTATTTAACCTCAGTCTCTTTATCTCTAAAATAGAATAATCATAGTACTCAACACCTAAGACGTTTGTAAGGAACAAAGGAGAAAAAAATGCATGCCTCACTCCTTCATCCAACAATTTGTGGTGATACTGGCTTTTACTAACTGAAGGCACTCATTAAATGTTACCTACTAGAATTCATTATTGAATTTGTGTTTAAGTTTCACTACAGGGACTAAGTATTTGGAAAACGTATTTGGAAAATATTTGCAAATTTTGAGGCATTGTTTTTTTAAAAGGACTTAAAACATTCAAATAGTCTCAAGTTACTGTACAGATTCCCACGAAAAAACCTGGTGAGAAGAGTCAGATGGCAAGGCTGAGCTAAGTGAGCGTCTTAGGGTGGCATGCCAGCCCACACGGCATCTTAGGGTGACATGTTAGTGTCACACAATGTCTTTAGGGTGACATGTTAATGCCACAAAATGACTTTAGGGTGACATGTTAATGCCACACAATGCCTTCAGACTGACATGTTAATATCACACAACGTCTCAGGGTGACATGTCACCACATGACATCCTTAGAATGACAGCGCCACACAACATCTTCGGGTGACATGTTAACACCTCACGTCTTTAGGGTGACATGTTAGCACCACATGACATCCTTAGAGTGACAAGTTAATGCCACACAATCTCTTTAGGGTGACACATTAGCGACACATGACATCTTTAGAGTGACGGGTTAGCACCACACAAACGTCTTAGGGTGACATATTAGCGCTACAGAACGTCTTAGGATGACATGTTAACACCACACAATATCTTTAAAGTGACATGTTAGCACCACATAAATCTGCATATTGGTGAAGTCTGAGATAGAGAACCTGTCTCTGGCCACTGATTTTTCATTTGGCTTTGATGGCAAATGTCGGGGTGATGTAAAGTACTCTCAAAACTGAAATAAAATATTGCATTGCTTTAAATTCTCATCATTCCATAAGCACCAAAGTTTACAACATGACATCTTCTCCTACAGAATAAAAAACCTCATTTCTTCAACAAAAAGTTAATTTTATTAAAAATAAAGGAAAGATAATTTAAGGAATATCAATACTTCTAAATTTCATTGAAATAAAACTATATTTAGTAGAAAATCTTTAGGTGTTTTTCCTGATACACACTTAGAGACTGTATTAGCTTTTTAAAAACTATAGGTCATGAAGTTTATTTCCAAAAGGCTACATGATACTTTTAAAATTACTTTCGTACAGGTAATAAATACTGAACCACTTTAAAAAGTCAAAAAATATTGAGGAGCTTAATTCAAAGACCAACAGACCATGTCCTTCCTAGGACACAACTGAGTTCCTTTCTGTTGTGGTGGTTGTTAGCTGCTTATTCACATTACCACGGTATTTCTAAACAATCCATGCACGGCTGTGCCCTGAGTCACTGATTCTAGGCTTCCCCTTGTGGCAGATGAGGGACACTTTCCTTCCTCTAATCTTCCCAAGAGAATTTCACTCTGCTCACCATCCATAATCCTGTGTTCTTTACAGACTATGCTATGCAAATACTATTTGCTCCTGAAACAGTAAATATACTGAATTAGATATTCTTTTACACCTTTTAGTTTTTCTTGGAGTAACTTTCTAACATTTTATTTGCTTAGTTTTCTTTAAACCAGTACCTAAGCTCTTTCATACCCACCAACAGTTCCATAAAAAGTCTCTCGGTAAGATTTTCCACATGGTCAAATCTACTATGACTTTGTTTTCCCTGGAGGCGACTCTCCATTATCAGCTGCTTTCCAGGTCTTCTGTGCCACTGCTGTCCTGGGACTTGCACCTGTCAACTTCCTGGGGATTCTGCTCCCTCTCTTGTTTGGGTAGCCCCTCTTCCCTGGATCTGATCCTCTTTCTTAGAGCACTCCCTTGTTGTGGTAGACACCACACTCTGGTAGCTTCCTGAGATGGAGTACAGGGGAACGGGATGTTTTAAACAGTCTTTGCTCTACTCCACATTTAATTGGTAACTTTCTGGGCAGAATGCAATGTTGGAAATCATTTTTACTCAAAACTTGGAAGTCACTTCCATTTATCTTTTAGCTTCAGTGAAACTGTTGCAAAGTCCAATGCCATTTTTGGACTTTGTACATAACCTTTTTCTCTCTAAAGTTTTTTTTTTTCTTTTTTTGAGACGGAGTCTCACTGTCACCCAGGCTGGAGTGCAGTGGCATGATCTCGGCTCACTGCAACCTCTGCCTCCCAGGTTCAAGCAATTCTCCTGCCTCAGCCTCCCAAGTAGCTGGGACTACAGGTGCACGCCGCTACACGTGGCTATTTCTTGTCTAACGTTTTAAGCACTGTCTCTTTATCCCTTTATCTTAAGCTTTCACAATGACGGGCATGATGTGGATTTGTCTGTCTCCATTCATTGTGTAGGAACCTGGTAGGTCTTTCCAATATGCAACTATGTCCCTCATTTCTTTCTTTTTTTTTTTTGGAGATGGGGTCTCACACTGTTGCCCAGGCTGGAGTGCAGTGGTGTGATCTCGGCTCACTGCAACCTCTGCCTCCTGGGTTCGAGCGATTCTCCTGCCTCAGCCTCCCAAGTAGCTGGGATTATGGGTGCCCACTACCATGCCCAGCTAATTTTTTGTATGTTTTTAGTAGAGATGGGGTTTCACTGTGTTGGCCAGGCTGGTCTCAAACTCCTGACCTCAGTGATCTGCCCACCTTGGCCTCCCAAAGTGCTGGGATTATAGGCACGAGCCACAGCACCCAGCCTATGTCCCTCATTTCTAGAGCATATTCTTGTGTTATTTTCCTCCCTCCTATTGTGTGTTCTCCCTCACTAGGTCTCCCACCAGTCACATGCTGAACCTCCTGGATTAATCCTCTTGCTTTCTTACGTTTTCCTCTCCCATTGTCTTATTTCTGCCCGCTTTCTAAGATATGACTTTGATTCCCAAACATTTTCATGAATTTATTAAAAATTCAGCCATTATACTTTTTATTTTCAAGAGCTCTCTTTTTCCATCAAATGTTGCCTGTTTCTTGGATGCAACAGCATCTCTTATTTCCCTGAAGATATTAATTATGAATTATTATTTCTTCAAAGCTTTCTTCCACTTCCTGCTTTCTCTTTGTTTTTATTTCTACTTGTTCAGGTCTCCACCTTTCAAGTTGGGGCTTTTCTGCCGTGTCTGCTCATGGGCTACCGGTCTGTGCTCACACACAAGGCACAGCTCCTCGCTGCCCTCAGTGCACAGGAGGGGCTGCGGAATGGTGGGAATCACTGTGGAGTGGCTGGATGGGGGATTGCCGGGGTCTCCAAAGAAGTAGACCAACAGGATGTATAGAAGTAGAGAAAGAGATTCACTCCAAGGAACTGGCTGCAGAGGCTTCATGAGTCCACAAACTGCCTGGGGTGGCCAGAAAGCTGGAGACTCAGGAAGGACCTGCAGTTGGAGTCTGAAAGCAGAGTGCTGGAGAATCCTCTCTTGCCTAGGGGTCCAGCATTTTGTTCTAGTCAGACCTTCAACTGTCTGGACAAGGCCCACTCACATCCTATGGGGCAGCTGGCTTCACTCAAAGTCCACCAACTTAAATGTAAATCTCATTCAAAAACGCCCTCAAAGAAACATCCAGAATAATGTCTGACCACATGTCTGGGCACCAGGGATCAGCCAAGTTGACACATAAAATTAACCATCATGGATGGCAGACTAACGTTTTAATGGGGGTTTTCAAATACCTGTACTTATGAAACTTTTATCTGAGCTACTTGTTTCTCCAGAAGTGACTTCAAGTCCCGAGCGGGGTGGAGGTGGCGCTGCCCCTTGGGGTGAAGGAGAGGTGATGGTGCCTGAGGCTGGAGGTGACAGGCAGTCTCACCCTAGACCATGGACACTCATTCTCTCCCCCCTATTTTTAGTTCTGTGCTTCACTCCAGCTCTCTTCTACATCTGGCTTTCCTGAATCGAAAAGAGCCTAGTCCGTTTTTCCAGACCTAGCTCCTTTTGTCTCCAGCACGAGTTGAAGGATAGGCAGTTCCCTCCCTGTGCTGGGTGTAGGTTCTCACAGAGGTCCAACCACTGCACATGCTCAAAGAAGCCTCTTGTGCCAGAGCGCCACCTAAGCCCATGTGTGGCACTGCCTACTGGGGACATGGCACTTTCCCCTCCTGAGTTCTGGGGTTCTGTGGAACAAACTGACTTGCTTCTTGTGGGCACCCTCCCCCTCGGGCACTGACACCATCTTTCATCCCAGAAGGTCAGCTGTCATTCCTTCATCTGCTTCAGTTTACAGGTTTGCAGCTGGAGCTCCAGATGTCCCCTAGCTTCATCAAAGAACTTTGGTTTCTCTTTTGTTGTTTTTCTGGCTGTTTTGAGATGATTTTCAAGAGAACTGTTTTTATTCTGTCATGAAAGTGGAGTTCCTTTTAAGCGATATTTTAAGAGTTTCTGCATATATTGTTCTGATAGCCTTTCAACGACACCCTCCAGTTGAAACTACTACTTTTACATGACTAAACTACCAGACAATGAGAAATAAGAACCAAATTCTAAGCCCCCAACTCACTCAGCAGACCCTTTCTTGGCCGAGGAAGCCTGAGGCAACCTTGAAACTAAGCTACCAGTCATGACAGGCTAAGAGGTGGGGCTCACCCTGCTCTGCCCCTCCCGTGCTGACCGCATGAGACTTTCTGCCCTAAGGTCTAAGCGGAAACCAGCCCTTTCAGCAGACTGCACTGGCAGTGACAACCACCTGACTGCTCCCCCATCTTCTGCGGCTTCAACAACCAAGCAGCCAGCACTTGCCCCTAAGAAGGCGCCAGGGAGGCTCAGGCCAGCCTATGGAGGACACGCAGGGAGGGGTTTTGTTCCTCTGCTTCACCTTTTGACTCAGAGGGCCGAAAACGCTACCCTCAGATCCTGCTCATGCCACCATTTTCTGAACATGGGTCTCAAGGAGCATGAAGCCCAATTGTGCAGACACACACTTCTCTAGCAAATACTCCACGCCTCCTGCAGCTCACCGAACACATACATTCGGCCGCCTGGCTTGGCATACGTTCCTGCTCCCTTTCCACTCCCTCAGAATATCTGTTTCTGGCTTCTAGCCCAAGGCTACCATTAGCCATCAGAATGGCCACCCTGCAGGCTGCAACCCAGTATGAGAAACAAAGCCCTCCTTTCCACATTTCTGAACCATCATTCTGCACTGACAACAGCCACGAACCATGCATCAGGGAAGAGATGCAGGCAGCTTCCCTGCAGGCTCCACCACACCACTGCCTAAGAATCTTGAAAGAAAACCTGGCTCAATCTCTAAGTCAAGTACTTACTACATAGTGTTCCACGTTCTTCACTTTAAAAACAGATCAATGGAAAATTTTATGATTTATATTCCTCCCAAGGAAGTCCCTAATATACAGCAAAATCGGCCTAAACACATGAACGACATTGGCGTGGTTCTTACATTACTATGTTCCCCTAAGGGAATTAGCATTAAAAAAAAAAGTTGCCGCCAGGCGTGATGGCAGACACCTGTAATCCCAGTTACTTGGGGGACTGAGGCAGGAGAATTGCTAGAACCTGGGAGATGCAATTTGCAGTGAGCTGAGATTGTGCCACTGCAATCTGAGACCCTGTCTCACCAAAAAAAAAAAAAGTTCCTGAACCACTGTTAAAACATTTTTCTGGGAAAATACAGAATACACTATGATAGTTAATTTTATGTGTCAAATTAAACATGGCGTCTGGGTGTGTCTCAAAGGGTGTTTCCAGATGAGATTAGCATTGAACAGTGGACTCAGTCAGGCAGATGGCCATCCCCAAAGTGGGTGCGCCTCATCCAGTCCATCCAAGGCCTGAAAGGACCAAAGGTAGAGAAAGAAAACATCTGCTCCTTCCTGCCTGCTGGCTTCAACCAGGGCAACAGTCTCCTCCTGCCCTTGGACTGGGATTTGGCTCCCCTGGGGCTCGGTCTTCTGACTGGGAGTGGAGTTACAGCCCCAGCATCCCCGGGTCTCAGGCCTGTAGATGACAGATCGTGGGGCTTCTGGGCCTCCATAGTTGCACGAGCCAATTCCTATAAGAAATCCCATCTCAAATATAGTATTTATCTCCTATTGGTTGTTTCTCTGGAGAACCCTAACACATATACAAAATCTAACTGTTCAAAATAACAGTGCCATTTTTAAATGAGATATGGAATTCTGGTTACTTTGAAAGCATGTACCTGTATCATGAAGAAAATTCGCATGCCTGTAATCCCAGCACTTTGGGAGGCTGAGGCGGATGGATCACCAGAGGCCAGGAGTTCAAGACCAGCCTGGCCAACATGCCGAAACCCCATCTCTACTAAAAATACAAACATTAGCCAGGTGTGGTGTTGCATGCCTGTAATCCCAGCTACTCAGGAGGCTAAGGCAGGAAAATGGCTTGAACCCAGGAGGCAGAGGTTGCAGTGAGCTGAGAAGGCGCCACTGCACTCCACCCTGGGCAACAAAGCAAGACTCCGTCTCAAAAAAAAAAAAAGAAAAAAAGGCCGGGCGTGGTGGCTCACGCCTGTAATTCCAGCACTTTGGGAGGCCGAGATGGGCGGATCACGAGGTCAGGAGATCGAGACCATCCTGGCTAACACGGTGAAACCCCGTCTCTACTAAAACTACAAAAAAAACAAAAATTAGCCAGGCTTGGTGGCGGGCGCCTGTAGTCCCAGTTCCACGGGAGGCTGAGGCAGGAGAATGGCGTGAACCCAGGGGGCGGAGCTTGAAGTGAGCCAAGATCGCGCCACTGCACTCCAGCCTGGGCGACAAAGCGAGACTCCGTCTCAAAACAAAACAAAAAAAAGTAAATTCAGAAAACGAACTATATGCATATATGCATGTTTTACTTTCTACAACAATAAAGACAGACAAATAATACCTAGAAAAAGTTTTAATCCTGTGTAGACATGAATTTCCTAGTTTCCTTTAGTGAGTGAGGACATGATATAGTAGATTAGACATAAAAAGAATCTGAAGTAAAATTTAAAAAAGTAATATATAGGTTTTCCAGTCTAAGATATCTAAATTCTAATCCACATCCTTTGACTTACTAGTTTTGTAGTTTTGTAGAATAAAGAAAGCTTAATTTAAAAGAAGAAGAAAGGAGAAGGAGGGGAGGTGGAGGGAGAAGGTGGGGAGGGAACAGTGGGCAGGACAGAGGGTAGAGGAGGGAGGGGGAGGAGGAGGAGGAGGAGGAGGAGGGAGAGGAGGAGAGGGAGGAGGGAGGAGGAGGGAGGAGGGAGGGAGGAGGGAGGAGGGGAGGGAGGAGGGGGGAGGGGAGGAGGAGGCGGTTTTATGCCTTGCAGGGAAGAGAACATAGGCCACAGGCTAGGCTGAAGTCCTAGGCTTATGCTCAAGCCAAACACAGCCTGAAGCAATGTTTAGTGTGGGGTCTCTACTGGCCTGATAGAAGAGTCAGTACTTAATAGGTGTCAGGGATGACTGAGAGACAAAATCATAACCACAGCAACAAACTCATCAAAAATATAGAAGACAACTGACAGCAAGCGAGGTTATCAGGACGTGACAAAGTCACTGCCTCAGTTGGGTTCTGCAGGCCCTGTTGCTCCCTGAAGATTTTTCCCCATTAAGAGTTCCTACTGGAATCAGCAGGAGGACAAGCACAGAAGAAAAGGGTGGACAAGCCAGGCACGGTGGCTCATGCTTGTAATCCTAGCACTTTGGGAGGCCGAGGTGGGTGGATCACGAGGTCAGGAGTTCGAGACCAGCATGGCCAATATGGTGAAACCCCATCTCTACTAAAAATACAAAAATTAGCTGGAGGTGGTGGTGTGCGCTTCTAGTCCCAGCTGCTTGGGAGGCTGAGGCAGGAGAATCGCTTGAACCCGGGAGATGGAGGTTGTAGTGAGCCGAGATCGCGCCTCTGCACTCCAGCCTGGGTGAGAGAGTGAGACTCCATCTCAAAAAAAAAAAAAAAAGTGTGGGGAAGAGATAACTAATCTGCTCTAAGACTCCATACCAAATGTACTCAGGAACTCACTGGACTCTTAGAAATCCACTGCCTGTGGTTTATAAGGCAGAGTTACGCATCTGCGATTCAAAGTAGGGTATTTCAATCCAGCCTGCAGGATTGTTTGTATGCAGGATTCATTTCCCATTTCATGTTTGATCAAATATACTGTAGTGTGTAAGAGAATTCTTACCTACCTGCATTAACATGTAGTAGATTCCAGCCATGCCATGGGCTGCTCCAACGTACTGCTTCCGGTGCCACTGGTACAGCAGTGGGCAGCGCTCCGTTTTTCTTTCTTCCCTTGACAAAGTCTTACCCGACTCAATAATAGCATTGACTACCTACAGAGAGAACGAGACCAATACAAATCTAAAACTGTATATGTACCCTGCTGTAGTTCAATTAACAGTATGTCATATATATATATGACATATATATAGAGAGAGGCAGAAAACTTAACCTAAAAGTCTTTAAGTAGTTAGCAGCTAACATACTTATATTTCTTTTATAAATTAATAAATGCAGGCAGAAAGAAATCAGGAGCCAATGTTAGAGTAGGAAAAGATAGTAAGTCTAAGAAATAAAAAATTCTTTGTATAAAAAGTCAACCAAAAATCTAGAAAACCGTCTTATAAAAACTGTTTTGGATTTCTTAGTTGCTCCGTAGCTGCAGTGCTTTTCCCAAAAGAGCAGCACATACACCTATCAGAAAAGGCTGGAGGAACTGGCTTTATTTATGAAAGACTAATGATATGAGGTCTGCTCTGGCATGAAGGATTTCAGCTAGATCAAAAGCATAGCATGTCTGGAATGACGGTTTCCTCACGTCTATCTCCTCTCATCCTTTTTGGGAAAGTCTTCCAAGTTTTAGCTGGGCATCTGGCCGCCTAGTTACAGACAGCTGAACACAGACACTTGATGAAGTTCTGGCACTGGGATGGGAGCAGAAGTAAAGTGGGCAACTTGGACACCGAGTCCCTAACAAGGAAGCTGTGTCACCTCCACCTCCTCTTTCCCCTTCATAGGTTGAGGGGCTAAACTAGCTTTGGTCCTGCAAATAAGGGTATGCCCCTAGGATAAGGCAGAATGAGACATAAGAAGTTGGTCCCCACTCGTACCAGCCTGAAATGCTTACCAGCTCAGACATCTCATGAAAGATAGATAAACATTCTAACTCTCTAAAGCCGCTGTTGTTTAGCTCCAGTAAAAACAGATGAATTAATAAAAGATGAAAGAGAATAAGGTTTTTTTTGTTAATGTTCCTAGAAAAAAGTAGGGGCTATTTCTTACTTTTGATGAGTACTTAAAAAAGTACTTCTTAAGAAATACTTCAGTATTTCTTACTTTAAAAAGTAATGCTACCTAGAAACAGAGTCCAGCTATTAATACGACTCAATACTAGCAAACAGGTTTGAATGGTAGAGATGCCCATAGTTGCCCATATCCCACAGTACCTCTTTAATAGCTGACTCACACACGGTGCCTGGACCTATCTCCGTGTTCAGGTACAGTAAAGCATACAGATAACCTGCCCGTCCATAAAGCAGCTCATCAGGAAGGTCTGATTCTTGGCAGACAACCGCTCTCTGGAGTTGCAAAAGTCTAACCAATAAGAAAAATTAATTTTTTCCCAGAGGAATTCTAAAGTACTTCTTCCTGAAACACTAAACCTGTTGCTTTAGGAATTACCTGTTATTTATTTTAAATTTAAAACTATGATTTTTAAAAATATTCCCAAATCCAGAACACAACAAAAATGTCTCCAGTTCACTAGTCTCCTTTTGAATGTCAAAATTAAAAATAAAACATCTTTCTGTTAATCTCTACATCTATTTTAAACCATAAAATTTTATTTTGAAATCCAGAAGTAAAAGAAAGTGATTTAAAATTTAAATAAAAATGGTACTGCAAGCCAGGCGCGGTGGCTCATGCCTATAATCCCAGCACTTTGGGAGGCTGAGGCAGGTGGATCACCTGAGGTCAGGAGTTCAAGACCAGCCTGACTAACATGGTGAAATCCCATCTCTACTAAAAATACAAAATTAGCTGGGTGTGGTGGCACATGCCTGTAATCCCAGCTACTTTGGTGGCTGAGGCAGGAGAATCCCTTGAACCCAGGAGGCAGAGGTTGCAGTGAGCTGAGATCGCACCATTGCATTCTAGCCTGGGCAACAAAATTGAAATTCCATCTCAAAAAAAAAAAAAAAGGTACTGCAATGTCACCAATGCTTGGGAATTAGATTGTTGTTCTCTCTTTATTTTTTTCTTTCTTTTTCTTTAGAGACAGGGTCTTGCTCTGTTGCCCAGGCTGGTGTACAGTGGCAGGATGGTGGCTCACCGCAGCCTTGAACTCCTGAGCTCAAGTGATCCTCCTGCCTCAGCCTCCCAAGTTAATGGAACTACAAGCGCATGCCGCCATACCCAGCGTCACCCTGTCTTTCAACAAACATTAACTGACTAGCACGTGCCAGATACTCTACCAGACCCTAGGAATGAGCCGTGATTTCTGCTTCTTCAAGAAAGACTATAAACCAATAGGTGCAATAAAAGCTTACATTCCCTAATTGTTCCATCATTAGCATATCTAATCAGTTACTTAAGGGTTGAACCTAAGATCGGTTTAGTTATTATGGTGAATCTAAAGCATGTAAGCTAATTTTCATGCATTGAAGAAAACTAAAAATTGCTTAGGAAAGATGGTTAAAATCAAGAAATATATTTATTTTTCCCAAAATTAAGGCACACACATGCTTGCATAAAAAGAGGGCATACGATCCCACCACTATGCTCAAGATTAACAGTTTGGCACGATCTGTTTACAGCAATGGATGAAATTAAAAACAGTTTCCCTTTTGAATCTTTCTACAGCAAGAGCTTTCACTGGGAATTGGGAGAAAATGTTTCCAGTTCTAAAACTCACTTTGTGATGCATTCCTGGGATTCACAGTCACTTCTGAGTTTGTGGTAAATCACAGCTCCAACAGCCAGAGGCCCGGCATCCCCACAGAGGAAGGTGACCCTCCGGCCATTCAGATTCCGAAGTGTTCTTTTTACGTAATCCAGGGATCGGAGCAGGTAGGTTTGGTCACATGTGACCCGGTACAACTGCAGGTACAAAAGGGCTATGCCTGGAATAATTTCCCACCCCAAAAGAAAAGCATTATTATCTTTTCCTTTTATCTTCAGGACATTATTTGTAATTACATGAAATACCTTCTACATAAATCTATGTTTCCAAAGGGGTGACACCAAAACAATACATATTATACATTTCTTTTGTTTGTTTGTTTGTTTTTTGTTTGTTTGAGACAGAGTCTTGCTCTGTCACCCAGGCTGGAGTGCAGTGGTGCAATCTCGGCTCACTGTAAGCTCCGCCTTCCGGGTTCACGCCATTCTCCTGACTCAGCCTCCTGAGTAGCCAGGACTACAGGTGCCTGCCACCACGTCTGGCCAATTTTTTTGTACTTTTAGTAGAGACGGGGTTTCACTGTGTTAGCCAGGATGGTCTCAATCTCTTGACCTCATGATCTGCCCGCCTTGGCCTCCCAAAGTGCTGGGATTACAGGCATGAGCCACTGCACCCGGCCCCCATATCATACATTTCTGTAAGATGAATAAACAAAACAAAACCAAGACAGAGAAATTAGGGAGGAAAGAACAGAAACCAAGTTTGTACATGTTAGCTTGGTGCTTGTCCTGGCATAGTGATGTAATACCTCTTATTCACAGACAAGAGAAGATACATCACTTCCTACTCATCCTCAGTTAATTTTCATTCATTCCAAAGTTGCATTCATTCTTCCTTGTAGATCCTAACATGGATCCTCTTCTTTTTACTTCTCATAAAATCATTTCTCTTATGTTATCCCAAATGATTGCTTTTCTGAACTTTATACTCTCTTCTTCCTTTTTTTTCCTATTGTTCCCAATTTTTCTTTCTTTTTTTTTTTTTTCCTGAGATGGAGTCTCGTTCTGTCACCCAGGCTGGAGTACAGTGGCCTGATCTCCGCTCACTGCAAGCTCCGCCTCCCAGGTTCACGCCATTCTCCCGCCTCAGCCTCCTGAATAGCTGGGACTACAGGCGCCCACCACCACGCCCGGCTAGTTTTTTGTAATTTTAGTAGAGATGGGATTTTACTGTGTTAGCCAGGATGGTCTCAATCTCCTGACCTCGTGATCTGCCGGCCTCAGCCTCCCAAAGTGCTGGGATTACAGGCGTAAGCCACAGTGCCCGGCCTATTTTTCCCAGTTTTTCAATGTTCTTTAGTGAACAACCCTACAACTGACCAACCAACTGGTGAGTGAACTCGCCATTTCTGGAGCAGCCACACAGTACAGAGTAAGGCGACCAGTACAAAGGGCGTGTGTGTTCATCACCCACCAACCTTTCCATTTTGGATAAAGAACAGACTCAGATCTTCAAATGAATCCGAGAATCTCCAGAGAACAGCCTATATGGCTTCTTAAAGAAGCATGTTCGTATATCTGGGTTTGAGAAGACAATATGACAGCTAAGTTAAAAAAAAAAAAAGAATCAGCATAAATATGTATTTACTAAAGTCTTTTATAGGAACAAGTATTGGCAGACATGACATGCTGGTGAAAAGGCCAAATGAAACATTTCTTTCATGTTTAAGTTGAGGTTCTTCAATATTCTAGTCTTTGTCTAATATCCTACTCTGATTTTTATTATTTTTCATTTTGCTTTTTTTTTTTGAGACACAGTCTCACTCTGTTGCCCAGGCTGGAGTGCCTTCCCCTGAACCTACAAGAAGCATGAGGGGAGTTTTCCCTGATGTTCACCATGAAGATCTGGTGGAGCTCCTAGAGGTAAAGTTCACAAAAGTGTGAGAGCCCGCTATGACTGGGTGCCCATCGAGTTTTTAAGTCTCTCTGGCTGGTCCACACTTAGCCCCCGTAATTCATCATCAAAGTTTCGGTCAACAACAAACTGTATACGCACAGTCCCATAAGATCATAATCATACCACCATATTTTTATAGTACCTTTTCTATATCTAGCTATGTTTAGATACAAAAACACCATTGTGTTACAACTGCTACAGTATTCAGTGCAGCAATGCTGTCCAGCTTTGCGGCCTAGGAGCAACAGGCTATATCATAGAGCATAGAGGTGTAGTTGGCTACACAATCTAGGTATGTGTGAGCACCTCTATGATGTCTGCACAATGAAACTGCCCAGTGATGTGTTTCTCAGAACTCATCCATGATGTGACGCGATGCACAACTGTAGTTCTCGGCATTCACCTGTTTCGCCAGTTTTTGGTGCAGCTGTTTGCCCCTTTGACCTCACTTCTCTGATGGAGCTAAGAAGAGCTGCTGAGTTTTCACTCTGTTAAGCTTTTTACTTGCTAGGATGCATTGGTGACTTGTAAACTCCTTAAACGCTAGACTGGAAAACTGAAGTGTCTCTTTAATTTATCTTGCTTTTCCTTTGCATTTTTTCCTTGATAGTTTCATTTAGTCACTTATTTATTAAGCAAACATTTATTACACCCTTCCTAGACACGAGGACACTTTGCCCCCATGCTCTCTGTGGGGTCAGCTCTTTCTTTGGCTCCTTGCGCTTTGGTCTCATTTCTGAAATGATTTTTTATCTTTTCCTTAAATTTCTTTTCTTGGTCTGTCAATTCTTATTTCACGTGCTCTTACCGTCTAGCCATCTCTGCTCTGAGTGTCTTTACCTCTGCGTTGTGAACTCACTGCTTAACTAAGTTACAAAATGAATGCTGAAAGTACCACCAATTTTTCTCCACTTTGTAGTGACATCTTCCTGGTGTGGTTTTCTCCCTCCATTGAGAAATTTTTATTTTTATTCCTTATATTATGGATAAAATAATTATATTTTTTTCTTAAAATTTAATTTTTCTATATCAACTATTAATAGGACAAATCCCTGGAAGGGGAAAATGGTTAGGGTAGCTTTCCCAACTTTTATCCCAACGGTGTCCTCTTGCTAAGTGATGAACAGTGTATGGAATACACGAGGAGTCTGGTGGCCAGATCTCCTGACTCTCAAACCCTTCCTTGTATCAGGAGTGCCCATTGCTGCTGCTTCCTTCCTTCTCTACACCATCAGCGGGGACCAGCAAGAATGCCGCTCCACCTTGCAAGCTAAACCTGCTTCTCTGCAAGCCATGCCTGTTCTACAGCTCTCCAACCCCATTCCCTGTGCACTTTCCACACATTTATTCCCAGCTTCTCCTGGCACTGTCTTCCCACTTTGCACTCAGATGTGCCCACAGAAGTTCCCACTGAGGCTGTGGCCCACCCTGCCTGGAATAGCTATTTGTTGTTTCTGGGAGGGTGGGTGGGGTCGGGGTGATTCGGCCATGCCTGGACCCTGGGCTTTCTCGCCTGCACACCATGGCTCTCCACACTCATTCTGGATGCTGCTTGTTTTTACCCAACATGACTTGTGTATTTTCTGTCTCAAAGTTTTGCTAAAGGGATAAGTTGTGGGTGCTTCATTCATTCTTCTTCTTCTTTTGTTGAGACAGGGTCTCACTCTGTCACCCAGGCTGGAGTGCAGCAGTGCACTCATGGCTCACTGCAGCCTCGACCTCCTGGGCTTGAGCCATCCTCCTGCCTCAGCCTCCTGAGTAGTTGGGACTACGGGTGTTTACCACTGTGCCCAGCTAATTTTAGAGATGGGGTCTTGTTATGTTGCCCAGGCTAGTCTCAAACTCCTGGCCTCAAACCATCCACCCACCTCCATCTCCCAAAGTGCTGGGATTACAGGTGTTCGTCACTGTGCCCAGCCGCCTTCTTATATTGTACACACAATTTAGGGAGGTATGGGTCTAGGTGGATTCCATACATCTACCTGAACCTCTAAACCCTATTAATTTAAATCACTGAAACAAAATAGTTCCATGATGATTCCCAAAGACAGCAACAGCTAGGGATTTTTTAAGCAATACTGATTTCTGGAACCCACCTCTAGAGTTCCTAATGTAACTGTTCTGGGCTGGAGGCTGAGAACTGTAGTTTCTTACAAAGCTCTCTTGGTAATTGTGATGCACGGCCAGTTTAGAACCTAACAATCAGGGGTTCAGAAACCCTTTTTCAACACGCAAAAAAGTTGTAAGTAAAAGATTTTTAGGGGAAACCTGTGCGACTAATAGCTATGCTATTTTCCTTCCAAAATATCCTTATTCTTTGTATTTTACTTCAGGTTAACCACAATTATCTAATTTTATTACATTTAAGACATCTTTGGCCCTGTAAGTGAACTGGCTCCATGTCTGTCTGGGTTCATAAGTTTGAAGTTTGACATATGTAATGTCACTATGTAAATGCTGCATGCATAACAGGCAAATAAGCATCACAAAAATGAATGCAAATATAAATACAAAAACAATGTTCATAAAAATGAATGTAAATATAAACACAAACACAATATTATCAGGGCCCCATGTTTGGTTCATGGTGGCTCTAATATGTATACCTCTGTCTATGCTGGGTTTTTTTTTTTTTTGGTTTTTTGTTTGTTTGTTTCTTTCTTTTTGAGACAGGGTCTCACTCCTATTGCCCAGATGTGTAATGATGTGATCTCAGCTCACTACAACCTCCACCTCTGTGCTCAAACAATTCTACTGCTTCAGCCTTCCCAATAGCTGGGACTATAGGCACATGCCACCACGCCCAGCTAATTTTTGTATTTTTAGTAGAAACAGCTTTTGCCATGTTGCCCAGGCTAGTCTCAAACTCCTGACCTCAAGTGATCTGCCATCTTTGGTCTCCCAAAGTGCTTTGGATTACAGGCTTGAGCCACTGCAGCTGGCCTATGCTGTTTATTAATTAAGCTATAAGAATTCAGCAAGAAATCACTCTAAATGTGTATATAAATTGTCATTAGGAATTTAGTCAGACTTCAGTCTAATCCCTGAGAACAAGGTCATCTTTTATATCCTTCATATTCTTTGTATTCCCTAAATAATTATTAGAATGTTCTGAATACCGGGTAAAATAACAAGAATGCAAAGATTAGTTAAGGCAAGTTAATTTTTTAATTACATTTTTTGATGTGAAGTATATTATTGGTTGTTTAACTGTTATCATTAAAATAAAAATAAAACATTTATGTGCACAAATGAGTCAAATAAGTACAGGCAGTAGGGTAGATAGTTTATATCACAGAACAGAGAGACCACTCACCACAGCCTGTCACAATGACCAGAGCAGCAGAGAATCCTTTAAAACCGACCCTAGGGCAAGTTTGCTCTTAATAATTACACATTTTCATAGACAGCTATATATTAGGTTAAATAAATGATGTTATTAAAAAAAGACACACTAGATATTAAAGTTCAAACTTCAGGGAGAAAGCATTTCTTTAGAAATAAAATTCCAAATCATCTCATCATTGAAGACATAGAGCAAGACTTCAATTAAAAGGTATAAAATCAGCCAAGCATGGTGGCTCACACCTGTAATCCCAGCACTTTGGGAGGCTGAGGCAGGAGGGTCGCTTGAGCCCAGGAATTTGAGACCAGCCTCGGCAACATAGTGAGACTCTGTCTTTACAAAATAATAAAAAAATTAGCCAGGTGTGGTGGCACGTGCCTGTGGTCCCAGCTACATGGGAGGCTGAGGCAGGAGGATAGTTTGAGCCCAGGAGGTCAAGGCTGAAGAGAGCTGTGATTGTACCACTGTACTCTAGCCCGGGCAACAGAGTGAGACTCTGTCTCAAAAAAAAAAAAAAGTATAAAATCTTTATAATTTTATTTTCTTTTGTTTTTGAGACGGAGTCTCACTCTGTGGCCCGGGCTAGAGTGCACTGGCACGATCTCGGCTCACTGCAACCTCCGCTTCCCGGGTTCAAGCAATTCTCCTGCCTCAGCCTCCCAAGTAGCTGGGATTACAGGCGCCCGACACCACACCCGGCTAATTTTTGTATTTTTAGTAGAGACGGGGTTTCACCATGTTGGTCAAGCTAGTCTCGAACTCTTGACCTCAGGTGATCCACCTGCCTCGGCTTCCCAAAGTTCTGAGATTACAGGCACCAGCCACTGTGCCTGGCCAAATCTTTACCATTTTAAAAGAGAAGAAAATTTCAAAGTCAAGTCTTACATCTCATAATCTAAGAATAAAATGTATCAGTCTCACCTGTCCAGCCAGTATAAGCAGAGCAGTCATGGGGATCAGCTGTCTTCAGCCCTTCTTCCATTTGCTGCAGAAGATCTTTAATTTTGGTCTGGATCCGTCTTATTAAATTATGAATGATCTGAGATCCAAAAGAAGAGATAACTTTAACTGCACAAGAATGGGACAATGTTGTGATAAACACTTTAAAGTCTAAATTGTACAAATGTAACAGACAGCAGTTACTTTCCTTGGACCATCTCAGTGTATCGTTGGTTGGAGTCCATCTTGGTTTTTATAAGGTTACTTTTTTTTAATGAGATAATACCCTATTTAGACTATAACTCATAAGTAGAATCACAAAAAACAACTAGCAGAAATCAAAGAATTTAAAAAAAAAAACAGAAAAGAAAAAAATGGATGGATTTAACTACACAAACATTTCAACTTCTGTAAGATAAAGAACAAAAGAAAGATGGTTTAAAAGTTAATGACAAAGGGGAAATACATGGAATATAAGATATAAATCAATAATAAACATAATACATAACTAGACCCCAAATTATTAACATCCTCATACAAAAGAAAAAACAAATGATAAGCATACATAAAACAAGTTCGATCACTCAGTGATTAATGAAATGCAAATAAAAACAAGTACTATGGATTTATCAGATTAAAAAATAGTATTATATAAAAAGAATTAAGTCCCAAGACTAAGAGCAAACAAAACAGGTATTCTTATTCACTGCTGGCAGTCTTTCCCAAGAGAAATATGCAATATTCTTCAATAATGTAGCTGACAGTGTTGTTAAGATCTTTCCTACCTTTGCTGTTTTTTTTTTTTTTTTGCACGACAGTTTCGCTCTGTCACTCAGGCTGGAGTGCAGTGGTGTGATCTCAGCTCACTGCAACCTCCGCCTCCTGGGTTCAAGCGATTCTTCTGCCTCAGCCTCTTAAGTAGCTGGGACTATAGGCGCTTGCCACCACGCCTGGCTAATTTTTGTATTTTTAGGAGAGATGGGGTGAGACAGAGTTTTGCTCGTCGCTCAGACTGGAGTGCAATGGTAAGATCTTGGCTCACTGCAATCTCTGCCTCCTGGGTTCAAGTGATTCTCCTGCCTCGGCCACCTGAGTAGCTGGGATTACAAGCACCCGTCACCACACCCGACTAATTTTTGTATTTTTAGTAGAGATGGGGTTTCACCATGTTGGCCAGGCTGGTCTTAAACACCTGACCTCAAGTGATCCACCCACCTCCCAAAGTGCTGGGATTATAGGAATGAGCCACCGTGCCTGGCCCACCTCTGCTGATTTTTAAAAATCTACTTGCTCTATCAATTAGTCAGAAACCTCCCATTATGACCATGGAATTGTTTATTTCTCCCTTTAACTCTCTCTCTCTTTTTGCTTTCATACATTTTGAAGTTCTGTTATTAGGCATAGACAAATTAATGACTAGTATGTCTTCCTGACAAACTGACTCATTTTCATAATGAAATGTCCTTCTGTGAGATTGTAAAGAAAATACTTGTGGGTTCTGCACAATTAAGGCTTTGAGGGCAAATTCTACTGAAATTTGGTATTCTGGACTAAAAGTAAACCTTAGGAACTAAGGTGTGCAGAGAGTGAACCCCAGAGAGGTTTCCTCAACCCTGGATGTGCGTGTTTACATTTCAAAGTGCATGAGGCCCCAAAACCAGGAGACATTTCTGACTTGTAAAACTGAAGACAATGGGCTCATCTTTTCCATACAGATATTTATGTACATTCTGAAAAGATTAAAGAAAGATGCTGCTAATGAGACTCTCAGAAAGGGAAGGGGAGACAATTGCCTTTCCCCTTTTATAAAAAGCACAGAAAATTTACTTTCCTTCTTTCCTTATCTACAATACAGGCTTTGCCAATGAAGGCCATCATACCCTACCTGCACTGCATTGTACCACAGATAAGAACTGGGACCTGGGAACTGCCCACTGGTTATTTGTGGTCAGGTAAATAGGAAGAAATTCCTGATTCAAAAACCTTTTGCTATAGTCAGGACAAAATTAATTAACATAAGTATCAAAACCCTCTTTACCTGCTCGACCTAAGAGCTATTTTATGGGACATTTTACACATAGTCACTAAGTTTTCAGATGCCCACTGCTTGCTTACTTGGCCATCCATTCACTTTCAACTTTTGTCTTGATATTTAAAGTCGATCTCTTGTGTAGCACACAGTTAGGTTTTCGTTAATTTATCCTGATAGTCTTAGAGTCCCTCAGCGGACATGAGCAGAACCCTCTTCATTGGCAGGATGCCCTAAGAGAAAGTGCAGTTCAGTCAGCCCTGGGTGGCACCTTTTCCAGTCCCACTGTGGGACAAACCCCATCTGTTCCTGCAGACTCACCTCTAGGCTGTATTTTTTAAAAACTAGAACGAATTCAACCCCCAGATCCTCAAAAACAAACATCTAACTTTCTTGTGTAACACAGCATGGCTCCTATGCAGAAAAACATAAAATTTGCTTCCTTAGTCTTTTATAAGCAAAAGCAGAATAAGGAGGACACGGCAAAAAAAAAAAAAAAAAAAAAAAAGAAAGAGAGAAAGAATAGAAAAGAAAGACAAAGAAAAACAGAAACAAGAGGCAGAGGCAGAGGCAGGCTCAACTGTTGGCTGTTGTAAAGCCCCCAGCCCCCTCCAGGTTTCCCTAAGGATACTCCTCCAAATGACTGCTACCAGTGGAGACGGCCAAGCTACCCAAAGGCAAACTGCCCCCAGTGAGATACATGGGAAAAGCCCCACCCAACTTGTGCCCTCTGCTATCAGGGGAACCCACCCCCAATATTTCAATGTAGGTTCTATTTTCCCTAAGTGTTGGCCAGTCTGAGAAATAAAGAGAAAGAGTACAAAGAGAGGAATTTTACAGCTGGGCCTCCGGGGATGACATCACATATCGGTAGGACTGTGATGCCCACCTGAGCTGCAAAAACAGCAGGTTTTTATTAAGGACTTCAAAAGGGGAGGGGGTGGACGAACAGGGAGTAGGTAACAAAGATCACATGCTTCAAAGGGCAAAAAAGGAGAACAAAGATCACATGCTTCTGAGGCCCTTCATAAGGCAAAGGGCAAAGCAAAGATCACAAGGCAAAGGGCGAAATCAAAAACTCCTGAGAAGGGTCTATGTTCAGTTGTGCACGTATTATCTTGATAAACATCTTAAACAACAGAAAACAGGGTTTGAGAGCAGAGTACTGGTCTGACCTCAAATTCACCAGGGTGAGGTTTTTTTCTCCCACCTGATAAGCCTGAGGGTACTGCAGGAGACCAGGGCATATTTCAGTCCTTATCTCAACCACATACGACAGACACTCCCAGAGCGGCCGTTTATAGATGAAGGTCTTAATTATTAATATTCCTTGCTAGGAAAAGAATTCAGTGATATCTTCCCTATTTGCATGTCCGTTTATAGGCTCTCAGCAAGAGGAAAGAGGAAAAATATGGCTCTATTCTGCCCGACCCTGCAGGCAGTCAGACCTTATGGTTGTCTTCCCTTGTTCCCTGAAAATCGCTATTATTCTGTTCTTTTTCAAGGGGCACTGATTTCATATTGTTCAAATACACATTTTACAATCAATTTGTACAATAGTGGTCCTGAGGTGACATACATTCTCAGCTTATGAAGATAACAGGATTAAGAGATTAAAGACAGGCATAAGAAATTATAAGAGTATTATTTGGGAACTGATAAATATCCATGAAATCTTCACAATTTATGTTCTTCTGCCCCTGCTCCAGCTGGTCCCTCCGTTTGGGGCCCCTGACTTCTGTCAGAAGCTCAGCCACTGGAAATGAGGCCTGAGGACCAAAGGGCTCCCAGGACGGAATTCCAGCCCCTGAAAGTCTTGAGCTGAAGGGGCTCCCTGCTCCAGTTGAAAATAGCTCACCTTAAGTGGTGACTTGAGAAGCTGGGAAAAATTCGTCTCATACCATGTAGGTCCAGGTTGTCAAGGCTCTCCCTGGCTGATGGAGATAAAGGATAAACCAAAGTAGTAAAGGGGCTGGCCCCACACCTTGCAATAACTGGCTGGCTCACAAGCCCTCCTGTAAAGCTTAACTCCTCTCCATTCCTTTTTTTTTTTTTTTTTAAACACAGTCTCTCTCTCTTGCCCAGGCTGGAATGCAGTGGCACCATCTTGGCTCACTGCAGCCTCTGCCTCACTGCAGCCTCTGCCTCCAGGGTTCAAGCTATTCTCGTGCCTCAGCCTCCCTAGTAGCTGGGATTACAGGCATGTACCACCACACCTAGCTAATTTTTGTATTTTTAGTAGAGACAGGATTTTACCATGTTTGCCAGCCTGGTCTCAAACTCATGGCCTCAAGTGATCCACCTGCCTCTGCCTCCCAAAGTGCTAGGATTACAAATACGAACCACAGTGCCCAGCCCATTCCTTTCTTCTCTTTTCCTCTTTTTCTGTTCAATCCAGCAGTCCAGCCTTAAAATGGAAAAAGTCTCTAACATCCTAACCCCTGATTTTGTCATTTTCTTTAAAACTCCAGCTGATTACATATTATGGCCCATTTTTGTGAACATTTTAAACTAATGGGCAAGCTACAAGAGAAATTCCGAGCTCAAATGGTTAACCTGCAATATAGAGTTATGTAAAGTCTTCTAAAGCTCTCTTCCCCTCTTTTTTCCTAACTACTTTAAATCTGCTGTTACTAAGTTGCTGGTGCTAAGACTCATTATTTATGGTGTAACTAATATGTAAACACTGAAAACTCATCTAAAGTTAAAAAGAAAAGGAAAAGAGGTATTTTTAGTAAGGAAGGGTATAAAAAGAAATTTTATAGAAGAAAAAATCTTGTATGATAAATTACTATCTTAAAGTAAGGTTATAAAAAGGATGTTTAGAACAAGTCAAAGTCCAATATGTCGTAAATGGTCTGTGTAAGTCATGAAAATGTTAATGAAGGAGAATTTATGAAAGGAAATTTGCATGTAATTAAGTTGGTATAATTTGAAAAAATTATTTAGTATAGTCTTTCTAACATTAATTCTCTATGTTAAAACAAGGTTTTTTTAAGGTGTTACTCTGCTCTTAATAAAACTGCACAAAGTTTTACTCAGAATTTTATAAAAGTTTCTTTAAAAAAAAA